GTATAATGGGAAACTATCTCCTCATCATAGTAAATGATAATCTAGTACTAGATGGACATGTAATAGTACACAGTATACATATTTACATATTTTTGTCCCTAGATTTGATCCAAACATTTCTTAAGCCTCACTAATATGTTTTTTTTATCTCATTTAACTATGAAATGTGTACCATTGCACTATCTTATAAATTTATTAATGTTTCACATTAAAATAATTAAAACACCACTTTGAACCTTATTTCATGGTTAAGGAGGCCTGGTATTAAAATTGAATTTTGAAAATTTATAGCCTCAACATCAACAAGTAAATATATGTCTCTATCCTCTTTCACAACATTATTAAAGCTCAAGTATACAACTTCCTTACAAAAAAATGAGGACAACATGTACTTATTTACTTTTTCAACTGCAACCAACATAGGAGCTAATATAATTATTTCTGTAAAATATAAAGAATTACATATATTGTTAAAGAAATTCAACAAAGTCGAATCAACAAATCAACAATGGATTTTACTAAGTTTGAATTTATTGTCAACATAATAAAATTGAATAGTGAGAATAATAAAATGGTGCTAAGTGTTGGAATAATAAACACAATATCACATTTTAATGTCGATTATGGAAAGCAACTTCCATAGTTAAAGGTAAAAGTAAATTAAAATATATTTAAAATTAAAATTTAACTCTTACTGCACTACTAGAAAAATAAAAATTAGCAAAAAAATTTAGTGAGGGATCATCTATTTCTCTCTAAAATACCAAATTAGCGAGAAAATTCGTGAGGGATGTTGATTTCGTAGCTTGATTTAAAATTAGCAAGGAAATTAGCGAGGGACTGTCAATTCCTCTCTAAAATAAGAAAATTAGCGAGAAAAATAGCGAGAGACTATCAATCCCCTTCTAAAATAAGAGAATTAGAGAGGAAAATAGCGAAGGACTGTCAATCCCTTTCTAAAATAAGAGAATTAGCGAGGAAAATAGCAAGAAATTGCCAATTTCTCTCTAAAATAAGATAATTAGTGAGGTATTTAGCGAGGGATTCTATCCCTAACTAATTATTACAAAAAAAATTAACTTTTGACAATGACTTTTAATTATACATTTAATTATTTTCATTTAAAAATAATAATTAAATTTAAAAATTAACTAAAATATTCATAATAAAAGTATTTAATATTTTATTTATTTTAAGTTGATTTTCATTAATAAAATAATATTTTATTAAAAATATAATATAAAGAATAATTTAAATAAAATATAAACATTTTTAACATGTTAATAATTGAAAATAAAATTTAATATGTGTATTTGTGTATTTTTATAATATATTATTTGATATATTTATATAGTTAAATAATATATATACATATTTATATGTAATGATTGCAAGTACCTTTCAGTTCAATTGGCAAAGAAGGAGAGTGTAAAGCTTGAAAGGTATGAGGTCAAGGGTTCAAACCTTAGCTTTGGCATACACATGATGAATATATGATATCATAAGGAGTAAGTGACATGGTGTAAGGTGGACAATGACGTGTCATGAGTTGTCGCACATGTGGTGGGTGATAGGGTGCGAGATGATAGGTGACATGGTGGTTGCCAAAGCATGAGGTTGTTGATGACATGTCACAAGTTGACATCACATATGACGGGTGATCTGGCATAATTATTTTTAAATATAAGCATATTTAGCGAGAGATTACCGAGGGATTAATTCCTCACTAAAGTTATCAAAGTTTGAATAATATTAGAGAAAGATTAGCAAAGAATTTAGTCCTTAGCTAATTTTAGCGAGGGATTAAATCTCTTGCTAAATCCCTTACAAATTAGCGAGGAAAATACAATTCTTCACTAAATTTAGCGAGCTTTTTTTTTAATTTTGAATTTAGCGAGGGACAAAATTTTTGACTAAAATGCAATTTAGCTATGAAAAATGACATTTAGTGAGAGATTTGTCCCTCGCTAAATTTCATTTTTCTAGTAGTGCCGTAAAGATGTTAAACACTAATATATTCATTATATTAAAATTATAAATTAAAGTTTCTCCAAACATACCATAATTAATACTTATATCAACTTACAAAGGAAAATGAATATAAAAAGAAGTGAGGCACATCACTATATAATATTAAAGTACAAACTTAAAATTTTAATTTCAATTCTATATATTTAAATCTTAATGCCATGTACATCACACGAGGATTCGTGCCAATGGTTTAATAAAAGAGCTTTGAGAGTTGGAGGTCTAGAACAAATTGGGCTTGGTTTTAGGTTGGTTCTAGGTTACTAGTTGCATGTGGATATCTTGTACTCTTGGAGAACATGAATGATGCATAGGCCTCATGGAGCTTGTTGGACTTCTGGACCTGTACTCTATAGACTCATGAATATGGTAAAGCCTTAATTGTGCTCACCAAAGATATTCATGTGATTTAGATGCAATAATAATAGTGTGTTATTCTTTTGATGGACAATTTTTATTGGTATTTTTGTCATTATAAATGTCTACTCTTTCTAAGAAACATCTCTCCTTCAATTGTTGTGGGTGATGGTTAAAGGTAAATCGTATTCCGTTGTATATCTTATTTTGTTTTAGTGATTATATCCAGTTTTATTTTTTTTAAAAAAAATATCTCTCATTGAATTGTTTGAAAAGGGTCAATCCTATTACATAACTTTAACAATGGGAAATAGTGGTCAAATTTTAATCAAGCTACTTCAAGAGAACACACAATTTCGAAGGTGTAGATTTAGAGATAGTTTCTTGAAGCTTTTTTTTTCCCATATAAAATTACTTATTATTTTTTTAAAAAAAATCTATTTTGTAAAATTTTATTATTTTTATATAAACTTTTAAAAATAATCAGAATTTAAAAATATAATTCTAATTATTTTAAGAAGCTACTTGAATAGTTTTTAAAAATAATTTGTTGATATAGATGAGAGAGAATACTATAAAATTATAGGTATATGAAGATATTATAAAATTTTAAAATAACTACATAATAAATGTTTGTTCATAAATAGATATTTACAAAAATATCATAAAATCTAAAAACAACTAAATAATAATAATAATTTTTTATTGTTGTAACTAAGGATAAAATAATATATTCTTTTTATAAATCTCTAAAATTTTTTTTATAAAATTTTTAAACTATCCAAAAATATTTATTTTAAAATTTTAAATAAACGGGCTCTTAATCATTCAATCTCCAAAATGTTGCACTGATGCTTGGAACAAGCCTTTGATTTGAAAGCTACATATGATCATTCCACTACAAATGAATTTTTGAATGTTCCTATCTCCCACATAGATTCAGTAGATTGGTTGCTATGGGAAAACAGAAGCTACTCTGTTAAAATTTAAAAAAAGGTTTCATCGAAGCTTCACCTTGTAATTTTTTTTTTTGTTTTTTCTTTTTGGGTTCCTTTAGATGATGTTCCTCTATGTTCTTAATCATCATTTACAAGTTCAATCAACTTGCATTTTTGGTTGTGAAGCTGCAGAATCCATGGAGCATCTTTTTTACTCTTGCCCTCATGCTAAGGCTATTTGATTTGGGGCTCTTTTTATTCAATAATCTGTTATTGCATAACTGGGGTTAGTTTCCTGGCTTATCTAAATTTCTGACATTGTTTTCAGACAGAAAGCAATAGACACTAAGGGCATTTTTCTCAGTTTGCATCTAATCTGGCAAAAAAGGATTTTTCTTCTCCATGATGGTCAACTTCGCACATGAGTATAGGTTTTTAAAGAATTTCAAAACCACTTAACCTTTCTTAAATAGGTCCAAACATTTCGATGACGAGGACTCCAACAGCATGCTAAGCTTTCACTGATCACTTTTCCCTTAAAACAAATGGTTTATCAATAGTGAAAAATTAAAAAGAGGAATCTTACTTGTTCTCAAGCCTGTATCTTACTCAATGATAAATTATTGTTTCTAGCCGCATTATACACAAGTTCTCGAATCTTCATTCCAATCTATCTCCAAAGTATTCTTTCTAAATTATGCACTGCTGGAATGATACTCAAGGTATAAGACCTCAAGATAAATATTTGGAAATCTTAATTATTTTTACTAAAAATATAAAATACATGTGATGTAACACTTAAAGATATTAATTCTTTAATTCCATTTTCGTGTTTATTTGATTTTATTTTCTGCCAAAAGTCTAAACCCACCCTTGGAAGAGTTTCATTATTGTTGGCATTTGACATCTTGAAAGACGGTGGTTAATTTACCCAAAAAAATTAACAAGGGGCAAAAAACTGGTTCATTTTTAGGTATCATCTGACCTCAACATCAAATACTTACTAAATGAATGTTTTTCATTAATATCAACTATTTTTTTCACAAGTCTATTGCTAGCAATATTATTCAAGGTATGGCCAAACACTAAGATCCCATTTGGTTATTAGAAAGGAATAGAATAATAGATTGAAAAAATTAAGATAAAAATAAACTAAATCATCCTTCTATTTATAATAAACATGATAAAATTCATTAATATACATTACAAATGTGAGAATTATCACACCTTTTAAAAATTTTATGAATCATAATTCCCAACATTATGAACTATATTACCCATTTCCTTTATGAATGTGTTCACTTATCCCCCTCGATCATTCTATTTTTACCTATATTTTTCCAATCTATTTCATTTCACTTCTTTCTCATAACCAAACGGGACCGAAATGTAGATACCTCCTCTAGGAGACAAATTTTGATTTGCTATGTTATGAGAAATTAGCAACAACATATATATATATATATATAGAGAGAGAGAGAGAGAGGGAGGGAGGGAGGGAGAGCATTGACTAAGATTCTTCATATTTTGACGAAGATCAAAACAGGAACAGTCAGTGGATATATTTTGACTAAGATCAAAGGTCTAGGTCATTCTAAATCAGTAAATTTGAATTAATTAAGAGCAATAATGTAGAGACCATGGCATTTTATGCATGCATTAGCAAGGGTGAATCACTAAGATACCAACTTTTCCTTTTACTAAAAAAGTAACTTGCAACAGGGGTTAGCATGGGACTCTATCCTTTAAATAAAGTCTTCAGTTCAAACCTCATAAATTGGGTCCAAAAAAGGGGGAAATCACATCAGGATAGTTTTCCTCAATTGGACTCAGCTCAAATTCAGAGTAGTTGGTAGGACCAAATAGTAGATGGTTTGTCACCAAATGTGTGTGTGTGTGTGTGTCACTTTTTTCTGGCCAATACAAAAAGTAACTTGCACATTTTGTCATTCTTTACTTTCTACTTTGGGCTGGGAAGAGTCATTGGAAGCATCCGGGCCATGAGAATTCTTGCCTAGGAAGTTAAATTTGCATGACGCGTTTTTCAAGGAAAAAAAACTGCGAAAACCATCATCAAAAGCAGCATTCAGGGACTGACGAGTAAACCACTGTGGATTTTCAGAAGCTCTCATGGCCAATGTAGCTGAAAGATTGATCTACAAAAACAGGTTGTGAAAGTCATGACCAACAGATGAGGGAGTAATATACACAGTTCAAAATCACAGAAATGTAATAGGCAAGCGAGAAGGGGTTAATATTTTTCTTTCATACACAAAAGGATCCTCTGAAGTTTGTGTTCCATAGTGTTCATCAACTCATGTGACGTGATTAAAAACATACAGTGATGAGTTACAAGTGTTTTTAAAATATATATATATATATATATATATCAGTAGAGACTTCACACAGCTTCATGATTGGAACAAGGGATCCATCTTTGTGATAACTAAGTTGACAAATTTGATCTGTGAATTTTTAAGCCAATTTAGCTCTAGTCCCTCAAAATTATTGAGAACACACGTTAGCTCCCAAAAATAAACTCAAAAAATTAGTCTTTTTGGGATCCTTGATTCACTTGACAAGATGACTACCACTGAGTATATTACCTTCAAAAATTAGTCTTTTTGGCAACAAGATGAATTGCAAACCAAAAAGAGCAAGTAGGAAAACTTGTTTACAAAAGAATCTATAAATTAAATAAGACCACTACTACCCAAAAAAAAAAAAATAAAGGTAAAAATCCTAACCCCAAATAAAACTACCTGAAACTTTATAGTGAAACTATCATCATACCGATTGTGAGGTCTTCTGCACCAAAGCTCTGGCAAGTGGCAATATGCAAAACCTTTTGACAGAAAAGAAGAAAGTAAAATAATCAAGTACAGAACAAATTTCACATCACTCTGCTCCTGATAAAAAGAAAATGTAAAGTTTGAGTTGCTTATCACTCAACAAAACAAGGGACAGTGTCGTGACTAAAACTTTAGTGTCTTTTTATTAAACCCTCAGCAAGGTTTCAATTAAAAAAGAAAAAAGAAAAGAAAAGAAAAGAAAAAATACACTTACATTCCTCGGCCACCCTCAAGTGCTTCCTCTGATGGGTCTTTCCATTCATCAATTCTGTATGACAAAACTCAGCAAGCATCACAGTAATAATATTTGTTGAGTATGGCAAAAGAGAGAATGAGAGAGAAGACTTACACCCAACCATAGCGGCGGTCAAATAGAAGCCGCTTAGAAGACTGTTTATAGAGGTTTGAAGCAGAGGAAGTAGAGTTTGTTGATTCCTCCATACCAGACTTTGTCTGGTTGACTGTCTTCATGAGAAGCGCCAAAGAACAAAAAAGGTCCGGTGCTAATAGGAAACCAGGTCAATCAATATACCTAATAAGGACAGGTAATGATAAGTTCTGAATTCACTAATACTTTAGTCCCAAAATTTTAAAAACCTTAGTTCCTTAATTTGTAGTAGTACATGAGTTAGACCCTGAAAATATCTAATTGAATGCAAATTAATCCTCTGGTCAAGTGCCCCATAGTTGTCAAAACATGATTGCCAATGCCATGTTCTTATGGAATGGATGGGAATGGATTTCTTCAGGATTTTATAAACTCTGTGTGAAACAGTGAAAATCGCTATATTAGCCATAAGGCACTTGATGGAAGGACTAACTTGCAACAATTTAAATACAGGGATCAAATCATGAATTCCAGAAAAATTTCAGGATCGAAGCTAAATGAATCTACAAGTTTGTGGTTAATTTGTTAGTTTATTGATGCTAGATTAACTTTACGTCAAATGTTTATGGAAGTTTGACAATTTACATAAACTATTTCCAACAGATTTTATGCATTTTGTCACAGTTCAGAGTAAGCACTCAAATCATGTCAAGCTTACAACAAGAACAAGAAGCCTGATTAGGGAAAAAAAGAAAAATGAATAAAGTCAAGCTTATTTCAGCCAAGATAGGTTGTCTGGGAAAACACGTACACGCAGAAAAATATTCCATTGCATTAATTAATGGGTGTTGCCTGAATTTCACGAAACAGTACGAATGTAAGGTATAAAAATGTATATTCTTTTATCTTAACCAAATGAAAATATGGTTTTTTAACCCCTTTTTTTAATCTGACTCTGTAACTAAACATTCATTGGACCCTGATGTGAAATAGAGAAGGGAAGGGAAGAGAGGAAAGAAAGGAGGGAGAAAATCCATACGAGGGAGCGCACACAAACTTCTCAACTTTATTCAATTCACCAATGAGGCCTAACAAATAAGAGAACCTTTGAACTACTTATAGGGTCCTAGTTATAGTTATTCAACATAATAATGTAATCTAGATGTAATAGTCCTAGAAGATAAAATAACATAACTAAATCCTTGAAAGGATAAGATAATCCAAGATACCTTAGCTTAATTTTAAAATAAAGAAAACATAACTTCAAAAGATGATATAAAATTCTAAAATTAAATTCAAACCCTAAAACTCATATTTCCATCAGACCTTGATGTTTAGATTACTAATATAGCATTATTTATATATTCCATTCTCCTCGTAATATAACCACAATATCCAAAGATTCATCCACCTAGAAAATGCGTGTGCAACTGTTCTGTCCTAGAACATCTATCAATTCTTCTATCTCAAATGTCAACTATCCATACATTCTTTGATCCCATAATGAACTATGCTAAATCAAATTCCTAGGCTACAAGCCCACACACACTACTCATGGATACATACATAACAAGAATTTAAGCACAATTCCAATCTATGTATGAATCTTGTAACCAAATATCTGTCATAAATTACCTAATATACCTGCTCTTCTTTAATCATGCGTCTTATCATAATCAACCCCATTCCTTAAAGTAAGATACTATAACAAGGAAAACATAACAACCCAAATAGCATAATTTAGACCCTATCAAATCTCTTATATCCATATCACATGGTCGTACCATTATATTAACCACATTCATGCATTCACCTATCGTAATACCTGATCCTAGCATAACTAACTATAGTCAGTTCATACCAATGATTGTAACTACATGGACCATATCACATAAATGAGTGGTATTATGCATATTATATGACAAATCTCTTTTTCATTGATACTTGACAACCAAAATAACAACTTTGCATCACCAGAGAATCAAAAATTTCAATCTAAATATGAATCACATGCATCCATACAATAACCCAAAATAACAAAACTGCAGCATATCCAAAACTTTGCACTATGATGCGAGTCTCAGGCTACTTCTACTTGGCCTAGTCTATGGAGCTCTCTCTTATAATAGGAAGTCCCCTGACAGGTGAGATATGAGTGCCCCCAATAATAGATAATCTTTCCCAACTACAATGAAGTGTGAAATATATCAAAAGCATCACATGTGACAGTACCAACAATATCATCATCAAAGCAGCATCCACAAGGAGGAACACTTCTTAACCCAGCATCATCATCATCATCATAACTATTTCAGAAGAGGAAAACCTTCTCACCCACCATTGATCATCAGCACACAATGCCAGAACATCAACCAAGAAGATATTTTACAGTAAATTACACAAAAGAAAGAAAATCTGTATCTGTTACTTCAACTCTTGCTCAAGGTGCAAAATAAAATCTCACAAGCATTACATTATCAAATAACCCGAGGTCACTATTCATTACTTTATAAATCATACTTCAATAGCAATTTCTCCTTCAGGAATTCCCCCTACCTATTTGGATTGACAATGATCAATCTTCCCAAACACATCCTTTGGTTTGATGCCTATCAACTTGTTTTCCCCCCTTCTCATCATCAAGTGATTTCAGATACACATTCACAACAATCGAAGCTAATATAGAAATCTACCTTCTTTACATCAGTTTCAGAAGCTCTTCCCCCCCCCCCCAAAAAAAAAAAAAAAAAAAAGCCTCTGCACCAATAAATTTGAAATCAACAAAACTCATCATCTCTTCATCAAATTTCCCAATGGTCCAACAATCCAACCCTTTTCATGCTTCCTTGAGTGTCAACCAAAAAGAATTATGGTAGGCCCGACATTTAACACTCTGATTCGCTCAATCCATGATTTTTTAGCACCTCAATTACTAAATAAAACCAACACCTTTTGGACAAGCTGTAAAGCTACAATTTAGCCACTAACAAAATAAAATTCCCAAACACATTTTAGCACACAACGACCATCATTTGCTATCACATTTCCCCCCCTCAAACACCTGAATTCAAACTAAAAACATGCACCATTACTTCACAATTTGCAGCATATGGTGTACCAAATCCCCATTCTACCTTCATTTTCTCATAAATTTGAAGTGAAACAAACATATTCACCACTTTCACATCTCCACAATTTCCGATTCAAACAAGGAGTACTGGATCAAATAAAATTCCAAAGAGTTTCATTTACCACTTCTAACAAGGATGAGCAAAACACTTTAATTCTCAACAAACTTATGATCCATCTTACTTTTTTCTCTTACAACTTGTCATCACTTAAAAAAAAAACAAAAAATCAAATTTCCAAAGAATTTACAGCAGCATAATATGCAGAGAAAACAAAATTATAAGTCTGCCCGATAATCTGTCAATGTGGTGCACGCAGGAGGTTTCTATCTTTTATGTATTAGTTTTGCTCAAAATCAGGATATCGGTCACCAAAATTATAACCCTCTTACCATGGTTTTGCTGCATATTTCCGGCCTTAAAATTAGTAAACTACCGCCACAAAATTAGAGGGCAAGAACCTATGAAAATTGAGGGAAACTTGGGATTCTACATCACTTTCATGATTCTCTTGCTTCTAGCTTCTTTACTTCATTGCTCACCACAACTTTTCCTCATTTTCTCCTTAGCATTGCACCATTAAAACCGAAAATCTTCCCACAAATATTCTAAAATCTAAACAGAGGCAGCTCGCATCAAAGCCATAAAATCCCAAAAATTAAAACCGAACAAGGAAAGAGTTACCTTACACGAATCAGTCCCCTATGACATTAAGTATCTCGCTCAACTCCTTCAATCCCCTTCGCCTATTTTCAGGCAAAAAAAAAAAAAACCATAAGTCCTCCCGAAATCAGAAAATAATCGGTGAAGATAATGAAGAATGAAGAAAAGAAACAATTTTAGATACTTGTGTTTCACTGTTTTGTTGTGGGCTAATGCTTCACGCAAGAGATTCGGGTGTGCCAAGCCATGGCAAGCTTTCGTCGAGCTCCCTCCCTCAACCCCCCTGTTTTTTCTCCCCTCTTCGCTTGTCTGCAAGATTATCGACTGACAATGGGATTGAGATTATCGACTGACATGGTAATTGGTTTAATGCAATTATTATTATTCTTTTTTTTTTTTTCACCTTGAGGGTAAGGCAAATCGCCGCCAAATTATATCGTGTCTGCATAAATCAAGAAATATATTATTATTATTTAAAAGCATAATAAATTTCCAATTTTATTTATATTTAAATAAAAATGTGAAAAACTAATAATAAAATTTTTTTAAATTATATAAATAATTATTTAATCTCTTAAAATATTATAATTTCACTAAAATTTTTAAGAATTTTTTTATCAATAAATTTTAAATTGAAAAGCAATAAGTTGTAATTTTTTATTTAATTTTTGTAATTTTTTAATAAAAGTTATAATTTTTTAAATAAAAATTATAAATAAGGTTTGTTAGTTTAAAAACTTATTTTTTAATAATAAAAATTATACTTAATAAATTATAATTTTTTTTCAACTCTTACAATTCGCAAGGAAAAAGTTATTATTTCTTAAGTAAAATTTGTGATTAACGTTTATTTTTTAATAAAAAAATTTAAATTTGATAAGTTATAATTTCTTATTTAACTTTTAATATTTATAAAATAAAAATTGTGATTCCTTAAATAAAAATTATGATGGAGTTTGTTATTTTCAATAAGGATAAAATAGTTTTTTTATTTTAAAATTTACTGACACAAAAATCTCCAAAGATTTATTGAAATTATGAAATTTTAAAAAATTAAATTATCATTTATTATTTTTTTAAATTACATTCGCATTATATTCTTTTTTAAAATTAATAAATTTAAATAAAAGTAATACTAGAATATGTAATATAAATAAAAGTAATAGAATGTTAGGAGCAATGTTTTTTTAAATTTTTATTCTCTCTCTTCATTTTTTTGCTATCTCCTAAGCCATAGTCCTAAGCCTTCTCTTTTTCATTACCGTTGCCCATGGTTGCTTTGGCTCACCCTTCACTCTCCCATGTCTACCAGATTTGATGAGAGATCATAGCTATCGCCACACTTGCCATGGAGACCCGATCTCCACTGTGTCTGTTGCTTGCATTGATGCACCCATGAGACGCAAACCCATAGTGATGGTGATGGATAAGGACGAAGATGACTAGAAGAGATCTAAACACAAACACATAACCACATGGACTGAAGAACCATAGTCGAGCCAACATTTTCAATCGCAGAAGGAAATAGCTCGAATGGCGAACTCATGCCTCTCATATCGGTGGCCAATTAAAAATAGAGAAGGAAGGAGGGAAAAAAAGACAAAGATGGTAGTATGTTCTCCACAGGTTAACTTTTTATCTCTAGTGTTTTTATGATTGAAGAGGAAAGATGGAAAAATAAATCTGATCAAGGTGGGGGCATAATTGTAATTTTATGTAGCTGAAAAAAAATAAATGAAATGAAGGGAGACTCGAACACAAGACCTAACTGTACCAACACACACACACACATAATATCATTAAAATGTCTCACCATCAATTTTTTAATTTTAAATAAATTCTAGGTCATTACATTTGAAGTATGGAAGAATAGGTTTGCAATTATACAAGAAATGCCCACATTTAGGTATAGAAAAAATTATTCATGATATAATTAAAGATTAACTTGTAAATCATATCAATTAAATATTTTATAATTTATGAATTTATTTTAGCTTTTGACAATTGAATATTGAAGATTTTTTACTTATTAATTATAATTTTAAGTTTGTTATTTTTTACTTATTAATTAATCAAAAATATATATACAAAAAAAATTGTGTTTATTTTTGTCATAAAAAATTTTAAACTGATTTTTGAATCAAATTATCTAAATAAATTTTAATTTATCTAACCAACTTTAAAAAAAAATATCTAAACATAAATCACATTATATAAACTAATTTTTATTCTAACCTTAATTTATTAATTTTAATTGAATATTAATTTTAATTATAAATTTTTTAATTCATACATATGTTAATTATTCAGGCTTTGGTAAATATTTGATGATTCCATGCGGAGTTGTCATTTCATTGTCCAACTCATTGTTCTCCCTAGTCTCAACTGTCATAATCAAGCTGGGACTTCAAGCGAGTTTTGTCGAGTTTGTGTATTTTTATGCTATGTGTTGTAGATCGTTTTGTCAGGTCTGTCAATATTTTTTTGTCATATTCAGCTTTTGCTTTTCTTATGGACTCTATGGAGCCCCTTGGAAAACTATTTGTTTGTGTGATCTTAATTCTTATATTCTTTTTAATAAAGTTTATTGCCTTTTTACTAGAACTTTCGGGTTTGGAGCCATGCACATCAAAATTGTTTAATTTGCATTAACACATCTAAATGAAATGCTCCAAAGTTTCTTCAATTTCTTGATTAATAGAGGAGATGAATTCATTTTACTGGATGTCATAGTCATCCTCGATAAAATCTGGAAGACCCGAAACAAGATGATTCACCAAGAAACAAAGCCTAGTCTAGATCTAGCAATTAAAGAATTCAATCATCAAAGAAAATTTTTTCAAGAGATCCAACTAGAAGAAGATGTCGTGTGTGTTTGGATACATATAATAATTGATTTTTTGAGTTAAAAAAAAATCAATTTTTCAATCAATTACCTAAACATCAATTAAATTAGGTAATCGATTTTATCCAAAAAATTGATTTTTTTTTTTCCGTAAGTCACCAGAGTCAGCTTCTGCATTCGAATTACAAGAAAGGCATGTGAAAAAATTATAAAAACAAAACTCAAGAAAAAAATTATAAGAAGGGACCTGTAAAACTAAGCAAGCATGAGATAGGGTCAAATACTAGTTGTGGGCACAATTTTTAATAAAGATTTAAATATTAATTAGTCACCTTGTGAAAAATTAATTTTTTTTCTATTAGACCTAACCTGTCATCAATTTTAAATATCAAAATCATAGTTTTTTTATTTGAACTTCACAAGCTATGTTTCCAGTGTTTTTTGTGGAGTTATGCTAGACGAGTGTGTTCTTAAAAGGTGTAATTTTCTAAAGGGAATGAGGAAATAAAAATGAAGAACATGGGAGATTTGGATGGTAAGAATAGCCATGATATTGAAAATGATAATACCAAGATACTGTATAAAAAAATTAATTACTAAGATATTATACAAGAAAAAATATTTCCCAAGTACTATAGAACCAAAAATGATTTGATAGGAAGCCAATTTTCGCATTTCATTCCCTATTCACCCCTATCATAATCCATCATTAGTTAATCATTGATTTTATTAACATAATCATGATTACAAAATGATTATTTTTATGATTTTAAATTATTTTCTACAAAAAAAATTGATGGGATAATCATTAATGAAATGATGAGCTACTAGTAGATTCTTTTTATTTTATATAATGATACTTTTTTGTAATTAATTTAGATTGAAGTAGAATAAATAATTATTTAAGGAATATAAAAGAATGAAATGAGTTAATAATAACAAAAAGGCTATTGTTTTTTAGAATAATTAAAGATTAAATATTTTTACATTAAAAAACATAATCTATACATAATGGCTTCTTATGCTACATCTTAGTCTCCTTATAATATAGTGTGGTCACCCTTGTCTTGTAGATTTTTTGTGTTGAGATTTTGATGATTCTGTGGTTGGTACAATTGATGGGGTATCCAAATAAAAAATAGGAGAATCTGTAGAGGAGATCAAATGCTATGGAGTCACAAATATTTCATTCGAGGGCCCTCTACATTTAATTGTGTAATCATTGTATTCGGCTACAAACAACGGTGGATCATCAAATAAAGAAGTGAATGAGCCAAATTGTTCAATATCTGGAGAGTTAAACTTGTGGGATAAGGATGATAGGGGCATGTGATAAGATTGAGTAAACAAGTTGGAAAAAGAAGGGCATCCTTGGTCTTGTTCTACTTTAACTTCAATGGCATCAGATGGTTGTGTAGACAAATAGCCTTCACATCTCCTACTTTGTCTATCTTGAGGAATATGTGGGCGTGGCACATTTACTGCAAGTGGAGCAAGTTGAGAGACCATTGTGAAGCGTTGCTCTCTTAACGCAAGTAATATGTAGAGTTGGTCTTGACAAACTCTTTCTTGATAATCTATTATTGATATTTGTAAAGGGTTTTGAAGACTTACTTACATAAACCTTCCTCTATATCTACCTGAAATTAGTTAAAAATATTAAGAAGTAAAAATATCAATTGTAAAAATATAATGATAGTGAATACTTACTACAAAACCAGTTGCAGTAGTTCTTGAGCTAATCTGCATTCAAGTATGTCTCCAATACCATCACATGCACTTGGATGTGGGATCTAATGGCTCGTTTGATATAAGACTCTACAATAGCACATTCCCATTCTTCCCATCGATCGATGAAGTTTGCATGCTCCTTAATCCAATTTGATGATGTTCTTCCCCTAAGTTGTAATATATGGACATTCCCCAATCTAACTGGGGGAAAAGGAATTGATTGTTAAAGATCGAATCGTCTCATGATACGAGTAAGATGGTGCCATTCTATTATGTAAAAGCATATTAAGAGAACTCAAGCCTTCCAAATTTATGATGTGACTAAGCAATAGCTTGGAATCAAAAGTTGTACCAATTGAGAATCATATGGTTTCTAAATTATCTCATCTTTTGCCATTGCATTGAGCCAAAGTCTATATTGTTGTAATGTCATGGCATTGTGATGAGGTAGTTGCCCCACATTTTTCTATTTGTGATTCATTTTTGCAACTTGTTAAGTTTATATGATTAAATGAATAATATAAACTCACATTAATAAAATCCTAAAATAAGCATTACCTAAATCCAAAAGTAGGTATGAGAGGATAGATATTTTTTTTGTGTATCTAGAGTTGCAGGTTGCTCTGGTGTGAGCATCGCAAAGTGATCCCATGCTCATAAGTGAAGTAATGCTAAGCATCTACCTATCCCTCGCTCAATTAGGTTGGTGGCATTATGTAAGTCTCTTTAAAGATGCGCTAATATTGCAAATCTCCATGAAAAGC